CTCGTTTTTTGGCTCGATGCACGGTTGTAGACGATACACCCAGCTTATTTGCGGCATCTCGGAGAGAGAGGTTAGGGTTTCGCTTGAAACTACCGGCAACTCTCTTTGTCGTCTCAGCGGCTTCCGGTTTTCGATTTCCCCCCGATCCAGACTTCCTGGCTGTCGACAAACGTTCCCCAAACACTTTAATTACATTTGTAACGGTTTTTTTTTTTTTTTGTAATTACTTTATTTGTACAGGCTCAATCGAATAAACTTTACAGAGCCGAGTTATCCTTTGCGTTATACATTGTTACTGTCTTATATTTAAAGTTAAAGGAACTGGACCGAGTACTCGCGGTCGTCTCGAGGTTAGTGGAGATTTACAATTTTTTGGATGGGAAAAGGGAAGAAGGAGGTTTTAAATGTGGTTTACGATATAACTATTTAATTAATCCTAAAGCATGAAATTATTTCTATTCATCTTGAAAACAAACATTGAAAAAAAAACCCCCCAGACGTACAAAACACAAACTAAACACAAGGTTAATCAAACTTACAATCTAAGGTTAATATCCTTAAAGTAAACATATATGAGTTTCATAAACTCCAGATCGCGTCTAGCCAAAATATCCCGAACTGGAACATTAGGTTGTCTACCTCGAGCCCGAAGGGAATCATAAAAATGTGATCTGACTCCACGATACTCCACACAAGACCAAAGGATGTGATCAGCGTCCTGGTAACCTTGTCCACATTCACAGAGATTGCTGTCTCCCAACCCAACACGGAACAAGTGAGCGTTTAGACAATAGTGATTGGACATGAGACGAGACATCACGCGTATGAAATTTGTAACGGTTGATTTGGCAACTTTTAGCGATTTTGCCAACTTTGCGTGCGAGTAGCTCGGATTTTCGCGATGCGCGAGCAAAATTTTGATACGCTGCTCTTCTTGCTTGGACGGCATTTTGACAACTGAAGAGTGAATTCCAAAATCAAAATAGGAGCAACATTCTACACACACACACCTTCAAAATGAGGGGTGTTCAGGTTTTTTAAATGCAAAATTGAAAGAAATACGTCAAGTTGTTATTGACCAAATTTTGACCGTATCACCCTTTAGTCGCCCAATTTTTGCAGTGTGGACGATGGATGGTTCTCCCAGCAGCTGGTGCAATTCGTGGTTCATTCGCCTCCGTTCGAAAACACCAAGGGTGCGTTGGTCCTCCACGAGCATAGTCCAGGTCTCGTGGCCGTAGAGGACCACCGGTCTAATCAGCATCTTGTAGACAGTCAACTTCGTGCGGCGGTGAATTTTATTCGACCGGAGCGTCCTCCGGAGTCCAAAGTAGGCACGATTCCCTGCCATAATGCGTCTTTGAATTTCTCTGCTGGTATCATTTTCGGCGGTCACCAGTGAGCCCAAATACACGAACTCCTCGACCACCTCGATTTCGTCACCGTTAATCTGGACTCGGGGTGGGAGGCTACCATTGTCTTCCCTAGAACCTCTTCCTTTCATGCATTTTGTATTTGATGCGTTGATGGCAAGTCCAATCCATCCAGCTTCAGCCTTCAGTCTGATGTACGTTTCCGCCATCGTCTCAAAGTTCCGTTCCATGATGTCAAGCCGAGCCAAAAAGATGGATGGACTTCCTGAAGATCCTGCCACTCGTGTCTATCCCAGCCTTCTGATCACACCTTCTAACGCGATGTTGAATAGCAGACACGAAAGTCCATCACCTTGCCGCAACCCCCTTCGAGATTCAAAGGGACTCGAGAGTGTCCCCGATACTCGAACAACGCACATCACTCGATCCATCGTCGCCTTGACCAATCGCATCAGTTTATCCGGACATCCATACTCGTGCATAATCTACCATAGCTGATCTTGATCGCTTGTATACGGATTTGAAATCGATGAACAAATGATGTTTGGTACGTTGTATTCGCGGCATTTCTGCAGAACCTGTCGAGGTAGCGCGGGCACCCATGAGTCCCACCTGGTATTGTCCCACGAACTCTCTTGCAAATGGTGACAGGTGGCGGCATAGAACATGGGAGAGTACCTTGTATGCAGCACTCAGCAATGTGATCGCGCGGTAGTTGTAGCAATCCAACTTGTCGCCCTTTTTGTACATTGGGCATACGACACCTTCCACTCCTCCGGTAATATTTCCTCCTTCCAAATCTTGGCAATTACCCAGTGCAGCGATCTAGCCAGTGCTTCACCGCCGTATTTTAATAGCTCACTTGGTAGTTGATCTACGCCAGTTGCTTTGTTGTTCTTCAGCCGACCGATCTCCTCCTCAACTTCTTGAATATCAGGGGCCGGTAGCCTGTCGTCTTCTGCGCGTGCTCCAAGGTCTGTTGCTGTGCCACCTTCGTGTTCTGCCGCTTCACCGCTGCCGCTCGTCATAGTACTGCTTCCACTTCTCAATCACCTCACACTCGTTCGTGAGAAGGTTACCGTCCAAGTCCTAGCATACATCGGCTTGCGGCACGTAGCCTTTGCGCGAACTATTTAGCTTCTCGTAGAACTTCCTTGTGTCGTTTACGCGGTACAGGCTTTCCATCGCTCCATCGCGTAGCGATCTCGGTCAAACCAGTCATTTCTTCGGTCCGGGATAGCAGCACCTAGTGCCGCTGCAGCAGTACTACCTATGGCTGAACGGATGTCCCTCCAGCCATCTTCAAGAAAAGCTGCGCCAAGCTGCTCTTCCGTTGGTAGTGCAACTTCCAGCTGCTGCGCGTAGTCCTGGGCAACTCCGGCGTCCCGTAGTTGCTCAATGTTGGGTCGCGGCGTTCGACTTCGAAGTGTGTTATGTACCGTCGAGAATTTCGAGCGCATGCATACTGCAACTAGGTAGTGGTCCGAATCTATGTTCGCACCGCGGTACGTGCGGACGTTGATAATGTCGGAGAAGAATTTCCCGTCGATTAGAACGTGATCGATTTGGTTTTCTGTGTGTTGGTCAGGTGATTTCCAGGTAGCTTTGTCCTTGCGGGGGAAAAAGGTACTTCGAACTACCATACCCCGAGAGACTGTAAAGTTCACTCATCGTTGGCCGTTGTCGTTCGATACGGCATGCAGGCTGTTTGGCCCGATTGCCGGTCTATACATTGCCTCCCGTCCTACCTGAGCGTTCATGTCGCCGATGACGATTTTGACGTCCCGTTGCGAACAGCCGTCGTACACCTGCTCCAGCTGCGCAAAGAACGCTTCTTTCTCGTCGTCGGGTCTCCCTTCGTGTGGGCAGTGCACGTTGATGATACTGTAGTTGAAGTAACGGCCCTTAATCCTCAACTTCCACATCCTCGCGTTGATCGGCTGACAACCAATCACGCGTTGGCGCATCTTACCCAGCACTACAAAGCCGGTTCCCAGCTCGTTGGTGGTGCCACAGCTCTGGTAGAAAGTAGCCGCTCGATGCCCGCTTTTCCATACCTTTTGACCCGTCCAGCAAAGTTCCTGCAGTGCTACGACTTCGAAGTTGCGTGGTTGAAGTTCGTCATAGATTAACCTATCGCAACCCGGGAGGCCGAGCGATTTGCAGTTCCACGTTCCGAGTTTCCAATCGTAGTCCTTATTTCGTCGCGTAGGTCTGTGCCGATTGTTCCGATCCGTATTTCTTTCTTCAGTATTTACAACTTTGTTTTTTTTTTCAGGGTGGCTTGTTGGGCCTGCCCTTGATAGATACGCTTACTTTGTGTTCAACGAGAAGACTTCTCCAGTGTATGTATTGTACTTACCGTCGGGTGTTATGTGTCGTTAAATTTAATTTCATTCGATGCCCACAACTCAAATGTCCAAGAATTGCTAGCATTTCCAAGTAGCAGTCTCTTTTAATTATTATTATTATTCTTCCAAAAATTCACAGAAAACCCACCTATTGATTCATCAGTGGTACACTTTTGCTCGCGCAGTTATCGCGCAATAAACGTTTGCAAATCGTCCGCAAATTGTCTGAATGTTTCATTTCTCTTCCAAGCGAATATGACGCCATGCGAACGAGCCACCCTCTCACCTCCATGCAGCCGCAGGCAGGTTGCCAATGTGCCCGTAGCTTTGATTTCAACTCTGAGAAAGCAGAAATTGGAGGCCCATAGCGAAAGACCACCACACTGCCGCAACACGGTGGCGTCGCGTCGGCAATTTATTTCTAAACTACTGCGGAGGAATGTCATGGAGTTCAAGCTGCTATAATTAACATTGACTTGAGCACCCGCGCGCGCGCTCCGCACACAAGATGAGCGCAGGATCAAGACATTCAAGACTGTTTGTTTTATTACCGACATTATTTTTTTCTGCATCTGAAATTCGCGTGTCTGTCATCTTTCTTCGATGGTCGTGACACGTGTTCCGTCCCCCGTTTTGACGGAATTGCAGAGCGAGGGCTTTCACTGACGTCGCGACGATGCGACCGACCAATCCGGTAGCGGAAAAGTTATCAATTAAAAAGTCATTCTCCACGCCAACGGATGTGTGCATAGTTTAATGTTTCGCCGCGAGCATACGAGCGATGATTGAATTAAATTCCATGATTACAGCACGATAATGCTCAATTAATGGTGCGGGTCTCGATGGTGGAATTCAATAAAAAGTAGTTGGTCCCTGGGTAATGAGAGGTCATTATATTAATCCGGGATAGAATGCAGATCGCAACTGGGGGTATTTGGAGTTATTAAATCGACGAAAAGATAATTGAATAATAATACGATTTTCGCTGCTGGAAGCAATGGTGATGCTTTTTGATCCAGATGAGTTAAAAACTGGCCAAGAAACCCAAACAAGTGATAAACGGTCCGTAGCGAAGAGAACATTGAAAGTTAATAGCCCGTTAAATATTATGCGCATACGGAACATCATACTATTATTGCTTGCAACTCACAGCTAATCACAGGAACTCACTTTCAATCGCCAGACCTTGGTCCGTGACAATTTATGAGGCTTTACCGAATCAATTGGATCTGATTTATTTATACTGACGTGATTTTCCTTCTCTGCTTCGTTTCAGCAATCTGACATCGGATGACCTGGAGCTGTCAGCAATATTCTCATCAAATTCGGTAAGTGGCTTGAATGCACTGAATGTTCCGTAGACCGATAGATGATCGGTTGCTGATCGTTGACCGATCGTTTTTATTACTATGCCGTTGGTGATTGTCGATTGTTGTGTTAATTCAGCTGGTTTGGTACTGGCCTGCATAATTCCCTATCCATATTACTCCGTATTTAGTAAATGTTTTGCCTTATCCAGCTGTCTCGGTGATTTTCTTCCCTGACGATCACTAGGTCAAGGACCACAATCCACTGCATTGAACCATTTCAGAAAGGCTAGGATTTTTGATAAGTTTTCAAATGAACACGAGTTTAAAAATCTTAAAAATGTACGTTAATTAATCATGTTTGTATTACTCCATACGTGAAGTTAACAATTTACATAGTTGGAGATGCTTAACGTCAAATGTCAGACTTAAAGTGGTCATTTTATACGATAGATGAGGAGATGAAAGTATAGAGTTGATAGTTCCGTTAGAATACAGCGGTAGAGGCAACAATAGATGCAATTTCCAAACCTATCGACTAGATGCTTACGTCAGATGACGACTTGCGTGTGAAACAATCGATAGAACCAACAATCAATACGAAACTAACGATTTTAAATTTTCTCACTACTTGACTAGCCTATTGGTCCCAAGCAAACGATTAACGTACCCCATTCTAGTCAAAATTCTAGTACTACACAATGTTTCTTTTGATTCGATATGAAAGTTTGACAGATGAAATGAGGGGTTAGTGGTTTTTCCTATGTTTCGAGGGGTGAATCGATTAGCTTGGGACCGAAGATAGTACCAGAGCTGAGCCAAAAAGTTGAGCACGTTTCTTCGGGACCTACTAGTCTTAGAGTTACCTCTATGATAGAACTGTTTCCGCACATCGAAGGTACGTGAGCAAATCGGCGATCATCTCTTTTTGGCAATGGTACCGGGGGGAAATACGCGTTACCATCCCTCCCCCCAACAGGGAAGTTTGGCAAAGAAGATGATCAACCCGATTCGTGCCTTCCTTAAAATTGACCTTTGCTTGCTTTCTACTCGCTATAAACAATTTTCACACTGACGTACTCTAACGGAACTATCCACTCTATACTTTCATCTCCTCATTGATCGTATAAAATGTCCACTTTAAGTCTGATAGTTGATGTTAAGCATCTCCAACTATGTAAGTCATTGTTAACATTTTGGTGTTATTCATTGTATTGAGCACGCTATCAATTTACATTTGAACGATTTTAATGAGTTTTAAACTAGAATGTGAGTGTGCACGGCAAAAAATTCGATCTCAGAAATGATAAGAATGACACACAGCGTATGTTATGAAAATACACCATGAATTATATTCACTTTTTCGTAACGCAGCAAACATTCCCGAAATCATGAATCATCCGTGTTGAAATCATGAGCTAAATTCATGGGTTTAACTTTTAACCAAAACATATAAAAATAATAAAATAAAGCATCAGACTGGAACGACGAACCAAGAACCTTGAGATCAGTACTTGTATAAGAGGGAAGACAAAAGGCGTATAAGAGATACCTATGTAGTGTGGTTTATGAACACGGTTTACCAAGTACGTGTAACGCTTGTAGCGGTCTTGATTTCACTGCATTATGAAATCATGAATTTCCATGACGAAATCATGAATCATTGTTACGATTTAATGGGATGGCAAGTTTTTTGATTTCATGATTTTTTATTCATGAAAATGGAATCGGATTTGTTTCCTTGTGAATGCGTGAAAATGTATGAGAATCTCAAGCGTGATACTTGTTTGCTAGATTCGCATGCGAGTTTATTCTCTCAGGGAGGCTCAATTAATGAGATTTGAGATAGATTTTCCGAACACTGACAGCAATGTTAACACCAGTGTTGGCTAAAATCCAGATCAGAAAATCAAAATCAGCAATCTTTCAAGATCAATATCACCAAAAATCACAGGCAGCAGTATCACAAGCCAACATCACCACGAAAATCACACGTGATTTTCGACCAATATCAGCCGTGATTTTCGATTCCCAAAATCAACCAGCATCAATATCAACCAAGATCAAAATCATCGAAAATCATAGGATTAGAAGATATGTTAAATTCTAGAGTTTGGAGTTTTCCGAAATTCAAGTCAGCATTCCGGATGAAATCAAAATGGGGGATTTCAACCCAAGATGGCTTCCACAAATCCAAGATGGCGAACCAAAATCCAATATGGTTATCTACGGAATGGGCTCGATGAGGGGAAGCGTATGTCAATTTTCCACTTCCACTTATCGAGCCCATTCGGTAGATACCCATTTTGCATGGGCTTAGATGCATATTCCTTGTCCAGGAGCCGCCAAATTGGATTTTGGTCCGCCATCTTGGATTCAAAAATGGTGGGGGATGTCAGTTTTTTACTTTGACTGTAATAGCAAGCTATTGATTTACCGTTTGGTGTTTTGTTGTTATTGGATTTTGGTCCACCATCATGAATTCCAAAATAGCGGCGGATGTCAACTTTCCACTTCCCCTCATCGAGCCCAATTCCCTAGATACCCATATTGCATGGGTTTAGATGCATATTCCCTGTCCGGGGACCGCCAAATTGGATTTTGGTTCGCCATATTGGATTCCAAAATGGCGGCGAATATCAACTTTCCACTTCCCCTCATCGAGCCCAATTCCGTAGATACCCATATTGCATGGGTTTAGATGCATATTCCCTGTCCGGGGGCCGCCAAATTGGATTTTGGTCCGCCACTTTGGATTCCAAAATGGCGGTGGATGTCGGTTTTTTGCTTTGACTGTAATACCAAGCTATTGATTTACCGTTTGGTGTTTTGTTACCTCAAAATCAGCTAAGGTTAAAATCAGCCTTGATGTTCTGCTGTGTGATTTTGCTACTCTCAAGATCAGCTAAGATAAAATCAGCCGTTATTTTCTGTTTGTGATTTTGCTGATCTCAAGATCAGCAGTGATTTTCGGCCGTTCCTGATTTTTTATTTTTTTGATTTTTGCCATCACTGGTTAACACATACTTCAATGACCGTATCATGCGTTCTCAAAACTCCCCAGTGTGTACGCACTAATTCAGACCTCGCTGTCGGTATTTTTTAACTATGGAACTGTTCAGTTTAACTTTAACTATCAGTCAAAAATTTAAACATTCAAAAATATATTCCGAACATGTACATACTTTGTTCAGTTAACTCCATTTAATGATAAAAAAAATTGGATTGTATTGGCTTCTTACGTGTAACGGTCATTTGAAATTTCATCGACTTTATCAGCTGTTGAGAAACCCAGTAAAATTTTACGGACCTCGGTGATCTGGGTGCAGATTAGAGATGGGTGATCCGCTCCCGAGCTGTTCTAAAGACCCGATTCACTAAAGTGAGCTGATGACCCGCGGATCATTTTTTTATGAGCCGCAGCTCATCAGCACACTGTTATCACAAATCTAAACCATTCAATCCGTCACATATAGCGGATTTTTTCAAAAAATCACGCATTGCTCCTTTACGCATTGAACAGTCACCGCGTAAACCAAGATGCGCGCGTAATTCAAAATGTACCTACTGACCGGTAGCATCAACGATAAAAGCAAACTTCCAAGCAGCTTTATGGGAGAGAGAGAGACATATGGACATGTGTTACACGGTGTTAAATTTCTACTGGTATTATCCAATGTATTTACGTACCCAGCTCTTATGGCTGATGTTATTCCTCCAGCATATGTGCTCTCACCTCTCCTCCCATCATTCTCTGGGGGAGCGGAAGATCCGCACGAAAGCAAATAACCGAAAAGCTAAATGCATCTCTCCAGCTTAGCAGCTCATCTCGGGATCCGAATCATCGGCTCTAGGATTCGGCGATCTTGGATCGATCTTTGGAAGATCGATCTTTTTCATCCCGATTTTAGATTTTTCGGATCGAGTTTGCTTTAAAAGATCGAAAAAATCGATCTCTTCTTTCGATCATTTCGATCTTCAAGAAACAATAGGTGTTAAATTTTGTAATTTTATTTACATCAAAAAAACGATTTACTTTCACCCCAGACTGCGAGGTAAATTTAACGAATATAACGTCAACGTCACGTTAACACGTTAACATAATTCTTGGGGTACCAACATAAACAAGCGTATATTCCAAAAGTGAGGATAACAATAACAAACCACCATTTTTGGCTTGAGCGAAAGTGAGGATAGCAAACTAAGCACTTGAAAATGGGATTACGCAAGTGTGCGAGTTATAAACGTCAGAAAGGTCAATTAAAATAAAAACCATAAGATCGATCTACCAAAGATCGATTCTTTGGTACCGATTTATTCAGTGTATCGATTCTAGAGCCAAATATAAGATCGATACGTCAAGATCGATCTTTCTCTGAAGATCGCCCAATCCTAATCGGCTCGAATGATTCACTGAGGTGACAGCTCTCGGACCCGTCCAGCTCTTCGGATCTTTTTTTCTCTCGATTCTTCACGATTCAGCTCCGGATCCGGATCTGAGCTGATGATCTGGAGCTGAATGCGAGAATAGAGAGAGCTCCGCTCCGCCAATGCACGTTCAGATCTGAATACACCATTAGACTTATGATATCAGTGAGCTGATGAGCTGCGGTTCCTAAGCTGGGTTTAGACTAGGCAAGTCAAATGATCAACTCAGTTGAATTCAATTGGCTTGAAAAGTTGAGCCTGGTTCAACTTTTTTTTAATTCAAGCGAGTTGATCAAGTCAATTGAATGGCATGGTTTACACGTTCAATTCGCGTTCAAGTCAGTTGAATTCAAGTGACTTGATCAATTGACTTGCCCTGTCTAAACCCAGCTTTAGTGAGTTGGGCCTATAGAACAGCTCGGGAGCCCATCTCTAGATCTGAGCTGAAGCCGAGAATAGTGGAGCAATTGTGCTGGAGAATCAAGGTGAATTCCGTCCTGAGCGATATTTCACGCGCGAGGCGAGATTTTGCGAATGTATGAGAGGTAGAGAAATACTAGTTGTCTCTCTCATTCCAACGCAAATTCTGCACG